CGCAGAGGCGTCTTCAGAACTCTGGAGGCCCCAGACGAAAAACACTTAATATTGACATATCATATTAATGTGATTTTTATAGCACAAAAGACAAAAAAAAAGATTAATTGAATAAAAATACAAAATGTGAAAAAAAATGCATATTCAAAAAGTAGTGAACATCAAAATAATAAAAATTTTAAATGTAAACATACGCAAAATGGACCAAAACTTACACTTCCTCTGCCCCGGGTAAACATTATCATTTGTCTCTTTTGGACGTCCTTTTAAAAATTTCTCATTCTCATTTTAATTTTAGAATATAGTTAACTCTTTTATGACAATATAGCCATCAACAACAACAACATACAAGCCTTATTTCCAAAAGATTTTGAGGTCGGCTAAGAATATAACCATCACATATTAAAATTAATACTCTCATAACAACACACTTCTAATCCATTACTCCATTATATAAATTATATACTTTCCCAAATTATTTCTTAAACTACTCCCTCCGTCCCACTAACAATGGGACAAGAGGGAGTAACACGCAAACCAATAAAAATGTTGTATGTGGTTGATATTGAATTGATAAAGTAAGAATAAAGTCAAATTGATTTAAAGTCACACAAACTTTACTAAAGTTGATATAAGAGAATCTTAGTAGTACTTCTAAATTTTAAATCCGTACAGTTCTTGATTTTTGTTTGCCCCAGTAACATATTTACAAAAAATAAAACATAAAGCAGTTAACAAATCACAAATACAACAATAATCAGTGAAAATAAAAATAACTAAATAATTGTGTCCATCCAAGTGATCCAACTAATTAAACATTACTTCAATTTATATGGTGGCTAGCTAGTGGCTATGAGCCTGCCAATTAATTAGAGCTAAAATCACTTTATCTATCTTTGCACTACCAATAGATATATTTGATTCCAAACCATTAAAATGAAAATAGACATTTTATACTATTAATATTTTTTTGAGGCCCCACTAAAATATGAGGCCCAAGGCATTTGCCTTGGGTAACTCCCCATATAGCCGCCCCTGGAGTTACGTGGCGAGGTGTAGTGTTTCACCTCAAAAAATTGGTTGAGATGTTGGCTTTCAAATCTTTTGTGTGCTTTACATTGTAATTTAAAACCCTTTTTAGTGCTTGTAATTTCAATGTCTCATGTAGATTGCTTGAAATTGTGTTGACCATATATATACTCACTCATATACATCTATCTATGCGTATGTGTATGTATCAGAAATTATGGAGTACTATATTCAAATCAAATTCTAAAAAAGGGAACAACATTTTATCAGGTCTTAATGATGCATGTCATTATAAGTTTATTATGTCACAAAAGTTTGGCATGTAACTATCAATTTATTTCGATTATTAGCGATATTGTTTATGTCGCCGTCTTATTGCCAATTACAATGTTAATGTGACTATCATATGTGTTTTTTTCAATCGAATTTTCCAAAATATTTGGGAAAAACATTTCGATGGTGGATGCAGGGGCGGACCGTAGTAGAGACCCAGGGGAGCAGTCGCCCCTCCAACAAAAAAAAATTAGTGTATAGATATACCAAAAAATAATTTCCGCCCTCCCAATTTTTTTTTTTTAAGTTACCGCCCTCCCAAGATAAACTTCCTGGGTCCGCCCCTAGGTGGATGCTGGCTGCGGCGGTTGTGTAAGGCTTGGTGGGGGAGAAATATGAGTAGTTACATGATAAAAAACTAATCATATATTTTTATCTTGTGAGAATAGGTGATAGGTTATATTTATGTCATTCTATATATATATACACGTAGGGTGTAGATGAGCTGAGTCGAGCTCATGAACAAAGCCGGAGGCAAGACACTGGGCTGGATTAAGCCTTTACAAAGAATATCTTTTATGAAAAGTTACATGAAATATTTTCTTAATTTGTTTTAATTGAGGTGGGTCAGGGCCTAAATTGCCCCCCTCCCCCAGATTCATCCATTCTCGAGAAGGTAATGTACTCGAGCTTGAAGATGTTATTTTTACTTTAACAAACTTGAAACAATTTTTGTTGTGCACACTACTAAATACTAATATTTTAGGTTTAAAATTTCAACTATGCTTTGGGTTGTACATTGCATTTTACGTGCTGGTCAAATTGATTGTGCATACATAATTTTAACATAGACATATTTTTTGTCGGTGCGAAAAATGTTTCTGTCGATACAATGAAAGAAATTGTCTGTACACAAACAATTTGACTGACGTGTAAAACGTTATGTACAATTTGGCGGTGTACAAATAACATTTCCCATAAAATTCACTATGGATCATCAATTGAATAAGGACTTAAACGCGTTCGGTGGTGTATTACATGGATTTATGTACGAGATATGGAGCAGTTATTTTGAAAAGAGTTGGTTTGTTTAGATGTGGGAAGACATTTCACATCGACATTTCCTTTTCTAGTTCATGGGAGATGTTTGTCACTTACCCACCCAATCACATGGATTAATAAATGAACCTGTTACTTTAAATATAAGCATCAGTTCTTAAATACGTTGACTTTTGTGTGGACATACAAACCCTTTTCACTTGATTACAATTGCCATTGTCAGATCTGTAGGTTATGGAATAAGACATCAAACTTTTGAGTTGACTTTTGCTTCCTAGGACCTCTGTAGCAGTGTGAATTAGTCTGAAACGCACGACCTTTGTTTTATAAGAAATCTCTTTAAAACGATTGACCTTGTTATGTTTTAGTTGAAATTGGGGTGATATTTTAATTCTATATAAAAAAAATTGTGTAACTATGTTAGGGGAACACTCTAGCTATAGATCTAATGAAATTCAAACAAAGCCAATAAATCTGACTCTTTAGTAGGAGGTTAAGGTGTTGTTGGGATAATTTCACATTTTCACTTGTGCAATTGGTCGTGTAGAACCCTAAGTAGCACGGAAACGAGAAACGGGAAACGTGAAACGAAAAACGGGAAACGCGAGAAACGTAATTTCTAAAAAGTATAGGACACGAAACGTGGGGGAAACGCGTAAATATTATAAAATATAAGGATATATTTATAAATATTTTTTAATATATGTACACAAGTTTTTCCATATGCACATGTTTTTTTAATATAATTTGTTTAGTAACCAAATAATAAAATCACTCTACATGTTCGAATTTAGATATTATTTCATATCAGTACATAATTAAACATAAAATGTACGGAGTAATACATTTCTAGCAATACTTTGCATTACGAAATGTAACAAGTGTTGTCACTGAGAAATACCACAAAAATTCACTATAAAAAAATATTTTCCACCACAGAATCTTTTGAAAAAGTAAAAAATTGGAATCCGAGGTTTCCGAAACGTAGTGAAACGGGTTTCCAAATTTTTCTTAATTATGAAAACGTCCCCGAAACGGGAATTTGAAGTTTCCGAGTTTCCGAAACGATTCCAAATTTCCGAAACGTGGAAACGTGAACCACGGAGAATTTCCGTGCTTCCTAGGTAGAACCCTCATGCTTGCGGTCCTAAATACATGTATTTGTTCGATACTAAAAAATGTGAGGCGTGACTCTTTGATTACATCTTCGGGTCTTGCTTCAAGTCACTAAGTGGTGAATTTGAAATTATAATAAAATTGTTCAAGCTATTCGAATTTACTTCTTCGAAAAATTTGGCACAAATTTGTAAGAGCCAAGAGTACTCCAACGATAATTCTAACTAAAGATAAAACAAATAGATGTTTAAGATTAATATCGATGAATAAAGACCCCTAAAATTGAGTAATGCATCATCCCATGCACGTCTAATTAGAGTAACTATTTTTTTACATCTAGCTAATTTCTCTATAAATAAGACTTTACTATCCTTCTCCCTCATAATAACAATTTTAATTTTTGGTATCACAAAAGAGCGGCCGTTATATTAAAATTGAGAACACATACAAGACAACCTTCAGACAGAATTTACAGATACAATCGTGAACCCTAGGAGTAGACTTAGAGTCAGTCAACTCATACAAAGCAACATGACTCGCTAAACCTGAAACGAGCAAATTTAGGCCTAAAACGATCGGAACCGAAACCTTGCCTAACAAAAGAACTCCAAAAAACCAAACATTCAAACCAAATCTACTCGCACTAAAACATAAACAATTGCTACTAAAGAGAACATAATACTGAAATAAAATCTTTCCATAAAGCTCTTCCTGGTATGGAGGTGGTTCCGGAGGAGGGCGGACTCTTGCAATATGGTGCATACGAACTCCACCACCGTCGGAATGATCAACCAAGGCTTCATGATCCACCCTCGATACAACCTCCCAGCCGCACCTCGTTCATCCGCCAATGTTATCTCCTCTGACGTAGTTGCAATCCCAAACGTTAGAACACAAATCAATATAATTTGCCTCTCCGACCCCATATAGATAGGGGCGGCGGAAAATCTAACCCCTACAAATAGGGAAAACGGCCGTTGGGGTTTCTCTCTATCTAGAGAGAAGAGAGAGTTTATTGCAATTGAATTGGATACTACATTTTGTGGCCATCCTATAATAACAATTTTTTATTAAAATAAATGTTCCGTTACTCAATTAATAAATTGTAACAAATTACTTTTTTTTTGGTAAAAAAGACATACGGAGTATATTTGTTTGATTATGATAATTTGATGTGCAAGTTATATTGGCAACAATAATAGTAAACAAATCTAAGCATTGGAAAATTGTTGTTTTCAATGGCGATTTTAGGCAAATCAATCCTCTTTATTTATCTATGGCGTCAAGACAAGAGTTTGTTCGTGCTATCATAAATTGGAAACATTGTCATGTTCTCAGCTTAATAAAAAAAATGTGTGAGACTAAAATGTGGTTTTTCATATCGTAATGTTGGCGATATATATGAAAATTTCACATATTTTATGCTCAAAAGTTTGATGCTCAAAAGGGTATAATGTAAAGGAACATGACAGTATGACACCAGGTCAAGAATCAAGTACGGAATATCAACAAACAGACTACATATTTTCAGAAAAGAGATGTTAAATATGTCATTTAATATATGAAGATCAGACCACAAAGAGTTAGTTCTGGGATAGAATATATTCCAGTGATGAACTGCATATTACGATCAAGGAAGAAAAACAATCCTATAGCAGAAACGGTCTGGAATACATGAAAAACTTTACTCTACATAAATTGTTCAAGGGACTTCTCCCTCTAAAAAGGGGAATATTGTAATTTCAGTTTACAAGCCACTAATCAGCTAGCTAAAAGAAACTAAGTGCTATCTCTTCCCCATGTTGTCACTGCTTGAATCTGATAGGATAGTGAGCCTTCTAGCCTTCTTCATGAACTCACTGCAGAGAGAGAGAGAACCATGTTAGTTTGAGCTTGAGAGTTCGAATACAAAAACAGCAAGAAACTTGAAGGCCTGCTGGGCAAAAGTTGTTTGGCAGAAATGGTTGAATCTAGTGAACATTTTTAATAGTGTTTATAACATCCATTTCAGCCAATCAAGAAACTCAGAAACTCTACTTATTCCGTGTATCATAGTGAATAGCGATAGGCCAAAAAGTTGGCAAATAGAGCTTAAAAAGAGTGAGAAAAACTAAAAAACCACCTGAACGGCTCATCTCCGGTGTGCCTAACCAAACCGGCAGTATCCTGGTACACCACGTTGCTTAGCATCTCTGACCTCTGGATCCCAAACATACTCCCCAGTTTTGTATACAGGTCCTCATATGAGCTCAAGCCAGACAACTCAATATCCCTTCCAACATCATCAGAATCCACAAACACCTTACAATGACGACCCGTAGTCTCCAAACCAAACACATATTTCTCATTCTCGTTCCAAGGGATCACATTATCTAAAAGATTTATAACCGTCTTCTCTTGGCTGTAGCCAAATGTTTCCCATGAGCAGCTATGGGACATCTGCTGCTCCTCAATGAGAATTGCTTTTCCAAACAGCATTAGTTCTCGCGGTTTCTTTTCCTTTGAATTTGGGCTGGACTGTCCAATTGTCAATAGGCAAGACAGGTTTTCGTCATTTTCTGAACTATCAAAGTCTTTGCATCCTCCTCCGAATGGGAAGAGGCCGATTTTTTCATGCCTGGCTCCCTGTATGCCTGCAGGATTGTTGTTGTCTGATACACACGACAAGGGGCTGCTAGGAATTGTTAGGGGATTATTATTGTTGTTATTATTATTATTTGTACGCAGAGAAAAAGAAGGAACCGAAAATTGGCTCATGGTGGGGAATTCGAGATGTGGAGGAAGGCGAAGCTTCTTTCTTGGGGGTGAGAAAGGAGATAAATGGATGGGTGGTAGATTTGATACTAACTCGACCAGCCATGGACTAACTCTCTTCACATTATGAAGCAAGTCCGGCTCATCCCATGCTACCTGCTCATGAATTAAGACAACATTGAGAAAATTACCTAATATAGAGAACAGTTCTCTAAAGATAAAAAAGCATTTAAGAGTGCATCCTATTGTATATTACTCCGTAGTTGCATGCAAATTATCTTGTGAACAATGAAATACTCAGTTTTCACTGCCTACAATATCACACTTAGTGTAATATCTTAATATGTACTACGTATGTTACAATTATTTATACTGATTTGTATATAATTAGGAGAAAGTTAACTTTATTCTCAGTTAAACATCATAAATAATAAGAGACATCTCCATTTGGGTAGGAGGTAGTATTTTATAGCATCAGACACAATATTATGGCATGTTTGGCATTGGGTTCCAGTGACGTATTATCAATGCAATTACCTTGGTAATACATTGGATCATTCTGACTTTGTCACTAACAATTGGACGGCATATGTGACATCATATTCTTTGAACCAAACAGCAACAACTTAAGATAATCCTACGTTTTCCATGTTACCCCGGGTTCATGAACTAAATGACATGCAACATCACATTCTTTGATGAAGAAAACAGTGACAACTTGAGGTAATCTTACATTTTCCAAGAAGTAATCCTGTTACCTCAGGTTCTATAAACTAAACAGCCCCCCTTAGTGTCCAAGGGACAAGAGTTAGTTTCCTCTTTGGTAAGGGAATTTAGGTGAAGCCTAACGTCTATGAAGCTCTAGACATGGATTATAACTCATGAGAAAACGATCTGTGGTCAATCTGCATGGTGCACACTATATGTACATATGGATAGAAGATGGACATTAAGCAAAAATATAGGAGATTATAATAGTTCCTAAATAGTAGTGAAATTACAGGTGAATATAATGATCATACGTTATATGAATACCCTTCCTTGTCTCCCTATCATTATATATCATTATCCATGGATGATATATAGACTTAATTTTATTAAAACAAGCATTACCTGGAGAAGGCGCCATGGAGAATTGGGCCAGTGGACGGGGTCATCAACGTGAACAGAAGTGACGGTTCCCATGAACCAACTAATCCGAGAGGAGTCCTCTGTTTCGAAGGGCATCTTAAACCTCATCCCGGGGCACCACCCGACTCTCATGGCCGCCCTCACAACAGTTTCTTTAACCACAAATTCCGGGGTGGAAGCCCGCGGATAGTACACAACCTCAAAAGGCTGAGAATGTGCAGCAAGCGATGCTGCTTTAACGACCAATTCTCCCTGGACTCTGTTCGTCTTTCCTCTCAAACCCTCATCGCAATTTCCAGAATGACCAAAATACCCCTGGGTGTTCCACCCAGAACCATTACCAGTCTCTTTCTTTGCCCTCCTGATCCCGACAAAGAGCTCCCCATTTTCAGCTCTCAAGAAAACAATTGAATCCCCGGCGACCAGCTTCTTCTGGTTAACGAAATTACTCCAACCGGTGGTCAACAGATGGCGCCTCGGCGTGCCCCTATATATATGCCTGAACTTCCACTTCACCCCATGGACATCCTTGGCAATGATCGTCTGGAGTGGCGGCTCAGCGGAGTAATCCAACCGAGGGAAAATGGTTTCCGCGCAATACCTAGGAACAGAGAAACCTCCTCCATTGTTCGCATCAGACTGTGTCAATGTCTTAGCGAATGAATTGGTGGGTTTCTCTTGATTCTTCTCAAGAGAAGCTGCAAACCTCCCCACATCCTCATCATCATTACATTCATTATCTCCTTTCAGTGGAACTAGTCTGATTTTGGCATAAACCTCGTCAGTCTCAAAATCAGCCAAATACGTTATGGAAGACACTCTACACAGGACTTGGGGTGGGATTGTGGGGTACCCTCGGAAATCCAGAAGAGACTTGTGGGCATGCTCGGCATGGCCTTGTGGAAAGTAAAAGACTTTAGAACCCAGAGGTGGGATTTGGACCATCCCACCAGCACAGGCATGCCATAGCTGGGAATCTAAGCATTTCTCCACCATTTCATTAATCATGGTTCGATTTTCTCTCTCAATTTCCTTATATTCAACAGAAACAAGGAGTGATGAACTTTTTTACTTACAGAGAGTCCTTCTTATTACTGCAAATCACACCCATATGAAAAAAGAAACAAGGGTTGCTTAGATTTGGTACTGAACAGATAAACTGGCCGGAATTCGTAAACAGTGAAAGGAAAGAATGGAGGGTTACATACCTTCAAGATTGGATTCAATCCAGACATGAAAAGAACAACTTCCATTTCATTCTCAAGTTTCAGACAGAAAGATCGAAACTTTAACATCACCCAGATCAGCAGAAGTGGCGAAGCATGTGTATATGGACCCAATGAAGCGGTTGTGAGAATTTTTGACGATATAAATAATACGGAGGAGTCCGTAAATAGTTAGGAGGAGGCGAGGTGGGGGAGAAAGAGGGGTGTCCGGTGGGTGGCTTAATGGGGGGCTGACAGAGACAATAGAGACACATCCACACACTCAACAGCCTTCTGAAGCTTCGTTGCCGACCAGCACAGGGAAATCGATTTGACACATAACACACTCCTATTCCTATCCACGCAACTCTGTTTTCTTAACGATATTTCTTAAACAAAAATGAGTGATCTGTTATTCAAGACGATGTTACTATCGTGTATAAGAACGTGAGAGTGTTTTTAATTGGATTTTAATTTTATGCTCATGTTGTTTGTTGTTTAAGGATGTTTTTACTTTGCATATGAATTTTCTCGTCCGGCCTGATCTGGTCCGATTTAGCTTAATCTAGTCTTGTCTGGTTTGAACTAGTCTGATCTGATATGATCTAATCTGATCTAGTTTTGGGATTGAAAACAGTCCAAGTAAACGTACTCCATGCTAAGTATTGTGTGATTTTTTAATTTAAAATAATCAACTTTATTAATCTAAACAGTACTTCGCCAATTAGCAAATAATACAACTCGGATATAGTGTTGAAAATATGTTCCATCTAGGGGTGGACGCGGACCGGATAATTCATAAATTTTCAAGAACCATTGGTTCCATTTAATGGGTAGGTTCGGTCCGGGTATTCCAAGTATTGAAATAGGAACTGAACCTTACCTGCCCCGTTTGAAATGGGTCGGTTCAGTCCGAGTTATCGGTTCCTCTTTTTTGTAAATAAATACCGCTATGCTAGCAAAGTATTTAGTGGTTATAACATTCTCCAACCAATTAAGTATCAATGCCACCATAATATAGTTCAAATTCAAAATAGAAAAACATAAAATAACATTTTAAATTGGTTAACAAAATATCTAACCACAAATCTATAAATTAAATAACACAAAGCCACCCAAATTAAATAACACCAAAATTTAAAATGTAAAAATTTAGACATCATTATTCATGGGAAAAAGGTTCAAATAAGCCCTTGTACTATTTCCAAAACGTCACTTAAGCCCCTATACTAAAAAAAGTATCATATAAGTTCGCCTACTTTTAAAATACAATCAACCAAACCCTTTGACCTGCTATAGCAGGTTATTTTTTAAATAATTAAATTAGGAATATTGATAAATCTTACAAAAATTCATACAAATTTGAAAATAATCGAATAATAATATAAAAATAGTGTCGAGGTTTATTCCTTCAACCTTTGGGTCCAACACGTAAGCCCAAAGATCTCGAGTGGGTTGTTTATGTATGAGTGAATAACTGATCCAAACAAATAAGATGGGCTAAGAAAATGATAAGCAAGTAAAAGATCGGATATTATTAATCTCTAATAAACCCCCGATACAATACGCTTGCTAAGGCCGAAGGTCGTTCGTCTTACACCTCAGTAGAAGAGCTGCGAATAATGTGCTAAGAGCTGAAAATAGGCTAGGGAGTTAAGGCATGTAAGTTGTCAACCCTTACAATGAAATAAATGTTGCTATTTATACCACCAATGGGCAGGCTATGTCGACATGGAGAGTTGTGAATGGCTGATGCTCCAACCACCAAATCCCCAGCATTAAATGCGCTTCCCGCCAGAATCTGAGTTTCCTGCCCAATCGGTGGAGACGAACGTCTCCCTAGGCTTGGGGTCTGCCCTTGGTAATACTGCAAATGATTGCGAGCTGTACATGGTTTGGCCCTTGTGTAGAATGTGTTTGTGTAGCATTGGATTAAAGTCCTTTGGGCTGCGTGTACCATGTGGCGCGCTCGTCTTTCTGGCCTTTGGGCCTGTGAGATATGATCCACCCTTGCAATGGTCTGACGCCCGTCGAGGTACGCTGATCCGTTAGAAACTAGACGTTCGTCAAGGATGGGGATTAATGGGCCGATCCTTTAATTGGGCCATTGACCCAACAAATAGTATAAATAAAAAAAAAGATAAAATTTTCAAAAAGATTCAGCCCTGATTACTTCAGGCTCCCCCCAGCCCCCCTCCCCCAGCCCCCCCTGGAGTAAAAAAAATAAAAGATAAAATTTTCAAAAAGATTAAAGTAAAAAAATTATAAAACTGAAAAAATAATGTGAAAAAAAAATTAAAACTTTAAAAACCTTTTAAATAGATGTTGAATATACAAATATTTTTAAAAATTAAAAAATATTGACTTTGATATTTTGAAAATTTTCACAATATTTGTATATATTTCTTCAAGTTTTAACAATTTTTTAGAATTTTTAAGTATTATAAACCTGCTGTTACAGGTAAAAAGCTTATTAAATGGTCAAATTGACCCATTTTATAAAGTAGACGTACTTATATGATACTCCCTCCGTCCCTGAATGTTCTTCCGATTGCGGATTACGAAGGTTGACCGACGATAAAGTTAAATGATCCCTGTGAAAACTCGGATTATTTTTAGTAAATAAAATTTACATATTCAGAAACTACATTAAACCCGCTACAAAGCCTGCACAAAAAAAATCAATTTTCATAAAGTTTTGATACAAAAAGTAAGAGTTTAAGAGTGATTTAAGTTGACTCTCGAAAAGCGAAATGGAAGTAAATTTAGGGACAGAGGGAGTACTTTTTTTAGTACATGACCTTAAGTGACGGTTTGAAAATAGTACAAGGGCTTATTTGAACCTTTTTCCTTATTCATGAAGTAAAAAGATATCACTATAAAGTCAGAAGAAACTAAACTAGTTACCATACACATTTGTCTATGAAAACAATTTAAATCTTATTAAATTTCAACATATAAGTGATATTAAGATAATAAAATAAATATGTCGCATTTCATTGAGTAAGAGTCTTCGTTTACCCAAAAAAAGGTATTAAATAAAGAAAGTTAGATGCATTTGGAATAGAGAATTGGGAAAATAATTTACGGTTTTTTATGGATTTTGAAACTCTTTTTAATAAATTGTCAAGTTTCTTTAATTGAGAGTCTTTGCCTAGAAACAAGAACATGCAAAACTTTCTCTTATTAGTATATTTTATTAAATATAAGAGTTTTTTTAAAGTAACATTATAAAACGGGTCGGTCCGGGTACCCATTTTTTCAAATGTTAAGACTCGTTCTATTCCTAAGCCTTTAAAGATCGCCCTGAACCTACCCGTTTGAGTTTTCTAAAATTAGGACCCGATCCTAACCCGCCCCGAACTTGTATTACCGTGGTTCCTGTACCCGCGGTTCATATCAAAAGTCTCATTCTGTTTTGCTGACATAACCAGACTGTTTTCGTCCTCAGGGAACTATCTGTCCCGCTACACAGAAATTTCTCAACCAGAACCAACTCTTCTATGTTTCCGTTCAAGAACAATATTTTGTTCCTCCAAAATACTGTGTGAGATAAAAGACTGTTTGCTTCCTATTTGTGCTTCCAAAAAAGAACACTTTGGACAGTATCTAGTCTTAAAGAACTTGCTAACCAGGGACTCTGTTTTTGTAGTTAATCGCCAAGTCTGCTTACCCAACATAGCTATATTAAAATCTCTGGTGAATTGATATCTCAAACATCCCTTTGGCGCACACAAGGCTCTCATATTTTTCCACGTCACAAGTAGCCATTCATCAACCTCTCTATCTCTCAACAGAGGTCCACTGATAGTAATAGTATAAAATGTCATTGCGTGGACAACCGTTTTCATAGCAATAGCATAAACTGGCATTGCGTGGACAACCGTTTTCAGTGGAATTTCCCAGCTGGGTTTTGATAAAAATGTATTGTTCCAGCTAGTAATGCGTTTTAAAATTCTATCCCTTAAATAACAAAGAATTTCAGATTCCCCGCGTCCCACTAGAGTGGGTAACTCCGAGTACCGGCTACATGCCTCCCCGCCTGAAAGCCCAAGCGAACCACAAATGCACTCAGTCAACCGTGAACATTAGGAGTAAAATAAACTGAGAACTTGGTGAAATTTATTTGTGTCCCGAGTCATGTTCATATTTATGAAGAATGTTTTTGATAACTTCACATTTTGCTTCTCTTGTCCTGAAAAACAAAAAAGATGTCATCCGCAAAAAGTAAGTGAGAAATCATAGGTTCTCCTCATTGAAACCCCACTCAGCTCCCCCAAGTTCTCAATTTTCCGAATCAACAGACTCAAACACTCCCTCAGCTACTGATATTGTTATGCTTTTATTATGTATGGTTGCATTTTTATTTAGTTTATTGTTTGTTGTTATGAAAATTACACACTTTTGGTGTAATTATTTTATTTTTCTAGATAATTGTAATTTGTTTAGATTAAGATTATTCTGAGCTAAAAACATGTCAAGATCATCCAAAGGACCAAGATTGGACCCTAAAAGATCAAGGAAAGTGCAAATGGATAAGACAAAAGGAAGATTGAAAAAATAGTTTATATACTCGTCCGAGTTTAGGCAGTACTCGATTAGGTATTGAGTGGATTCGAGTGTCAAATAAGACTCCGAAGAACAAAACAACATGCAGGGTTTTGAAGTTTTGGCTCATACCCGACCGGGTATGCCAACATACCCGATCGGGTATGTTACCGAAAAGTCACTTCCTGAGAAACTACTATGAAGACCCAATCGGGTATCCTATCGGGTATCAGACCTTGCCACCTCCAAAAACTTATAAAAAACCTTATAAATACACCCCCTCCCTCTCCGTAAAGATCACCAATTGATAAGTCCATATTTAGACACGCATTTGATGCGTGTTGGAGTCAGATTTTGATGGTTTTCCTTGCTTTAAGGTGTTGCAAGTCTCAATTTTAGCTCAAGTTGTGATTATCAGGCGTTGGGTCGAGTTTTGTTGCATTTGGAGTCAAATTGGATAAGTAAGAGTCCGACAATCGGCGTTTGAGAAGCAATCGGGAAGAGCTAGAGAGCATTCGAGAGATTTGGAGGTCACCGGGTGATTCATGACGAAATTTCGATGAAGAAAGAGCATTTGGATCGACCTCACATGCATCCGGGAGCGTTTGGAGCAAGAAAACAAGAGACAAGAGCGAAAAATAAGGACACACGGTCGTGCGTAGCCCCGTTTTACGCGAAGAAAAGACCCAACTCGGCCAGAATTCGGGTTTTTACCCCTCTTTTCTATAAATAAGGCCTCCCTAACCCTTCTTAGAGGTTAAGAATTGAACATTACGGAGACGCCCAGGGACGATTTTATCTGCGTTTTTACGTTCGTTTACTCTAAGAACATGTGATTCTTTGTAAGTTCATTCTTTTTTAT